TACATAGAATAAAATACAACTTACTTAGATATAAAAATATAAGAAAGTTTAATCCACTTTTCCAGCTTTTATTTAATTTTTTAACACATACAGTTTAATCAGGCAGAATGATACTGCCAGCTGGAAAAGGGATCTTTTAAGGGGTTCTCTCACTGTCCATTGGTTTATCTTAGTTGACCAATAATTAAACATTATTTCTGGAGAGGCGGAACTACAAGTTCTGGCTTAATTCTGAAAATACTTGAGAAATAACTTACATATTTTCTAATCACTATTAGTAAATTTAATTGTCTATGTTTTTAAAAGAATAAAGTTTATCACAGATGTTAATATAACAAGCATTTTGCAATTCTTTGTCTGGTGTAAAAGGTTTTTAGCACATTGGCTTCTCTGTAACAACATGTCACCTGTTTGAGACATTCCAATTGACCACATAAATGTACTTGAGATTTAACAAAGAAAAAGGGTATTATTTAGTTTTATCATTTATAAATTTATGCCTAATTTTGAAATCAGAAAATACAAAATAAAATTTAAAATGAAATTCAATACAAATATTTCACTCACTTATTTAATATACACAATATAAAATATAACAAGAAAATAGCTAATTTTTCATAGCATGACAAAAGTACTACGTAAGCTGGTAATTATTTGAACCATTAAGTCATATTAGTTGAGGATATACACAGGGCATAAGAAAAAATTTCTCCTGATTTAGAACAGAAATGTAGGCCGGAATTTATTTTGACTTAATTTAAGAAAAATTCGGATAAAAAAAGTCTTGTTCCAAAATAAACATCCTACAATTCTAGAATAGGAGCAGACAACTTGTTTAAAATCCATGGGGATGTATTATGTTTGTTGGTAAGGTATAAAATAGAACATGATTCTGGAAGTTCTCCAAATCCGGTTACAGACTGTATAATAATTATATTTAAAACTGCAGGTACCTGTAAATGCCTGTTTATATGTATTTTGTCACCTTAGTTTTTTCTTGCTATTTTAAGAGCACAAACAAAAATCATTATGCATGTGTTACAGTGTATCAAGCTGCAATATAGGTACAGTTAAATTGATGAATTGTTATTTAATATATGATGATGATCATATTGAATTTAAATAATTGTCTAAAATTTGCTAAACAATTTACGTAATCTAATAATTGATATTCAAGTTCTAAAAGTTGAACTATTTATGATTCAAGATAAAGGTGTTTGGACTAGATGACCCTTGATTCCCATGCATGTATAATTAATGTCTTATATTGACAGCCATGTTCAACATACCACTATTGGCACCTTTTGCTTGTAAATGGCTGAAAATCATAGTGCAGCCCTGATAGAGCAGACATTAATTAATAATTCGATGTTGATGGCGATTTAGGTGATAGTGTCTGGGAATTGGAACATCTCGTTGGTGATGATTCAGATAAAATAAATTTATCAGTAGATTGCACTGCAGATAAATTATGATTCTGAGTTTTTGGAATTTTCTGTCGGCAGATATTACTGATTTTTAGATCAATGTTATGTTTAACTATATAACAGTTTGTTTACCTTCCTCTCTTGCTTGAACAAAGTCTCGTGAGAGGGAATCATGTGAGCTGCTGTACTCTGTGACCACTGCGTAACCTTGGGGATGAAATGCACCTCTCACTGCCATGTCACCTAGTGACAACTTTATTGACCAATAAGAAGCTTGCTTATGGATTTGAAATTTGTCAGCTTCTGTTTACATTTACTTGATATTTTAATGCAGTTACAAGAATACATTAAAAGCTATGATCAAATTGTTCGACTTTTTATTAATAAACGCGACTTCAGATTGCGGGACAATGTTGATAATCAAAGGATTGCTTTGTGTTGCTCTGCTATGAACACTTTGACAAGAATATGCTGTCTTATCTTGCAAATAAGGATTCTTTAAAGAGGTTGATTAATTGATATCATAGAAATGTGTTCAGTTCTGTAATAACTTCAAGATCAGGGTCATTTGTTATCACACTGTTACAGTTTTGTGAGAATACCTGCATGCTCACGTTTTTTAAGCTCACATGGTTAAGTGTTTGAAGTATGGAAATATTCCAGTTTGTTCATTCTTATAATACATTGTAGATAAATCAAATCTTTGCCTTGGATTATCAAGTCTTCTAACAGGCTTGTGAACATAGTCCAAGAAGATAGCTGGTACAAATTATAAATATTACCCAAAATATATACATTTTCAGCTTAATGCAGTAATGGGTTAACTCCTTTTTAATTGTATAAGGAGTTAACTTGTTACTGCTTTGAGGTAAAGAAATATTTAATCTTCACCCTTTTTTGACTCCCAAGTTAAATGTGTTAATTTATTATAAAATAAACTATTATCAAAGAGATGCTGGAAGCACTTATCAGACAGCACATCCAAAATTTTTAGGGTTAAATTAATATGAACAAATTTTAACATAACTGGTTGTTTCTATACGCTTTGTCTTTTAGTGGCAGCCGAATTTACTTGCCTTAGAGCTGAGGGCCATTGAATAAAAAAAATAAAATCTGAAACTGATGTAACCAGTGTGGGACCTAGCTCTGTGCAATATACCATGTCTGCACTAGCTGTTTACTTACCAGGAAATATTTTGAAATAAATCTTCCTAGCAAATAATGAATGATTTGTCCAGATTGAAAGATAGACATTAAGTTCATTTAAGATATATGGTGCAGTGAGGGTTGATTTATTCCCTTGGTTTGATTTTATGACAGAATGGTGCTCTGGTTGGAATTTTTCTTTCAGTATTTTGAAATAAATATCTGTATTGTTTTTGGTTTATTTATCTGTCCATGTAGCAAACTTTCCTTAATAACTGATAGTAATAACTAATAGTAATAACCAATATTCTGACTACTTAAATCTCACATTATTTTCTGAAAATGCAATGCGACAGAGAGACAAATAAAAACTCATAAACCATAAAACTCATTTAACAATTAAGTTTGTACAGATAAATTGTCACAGAGAAATTATGCCTCACCCTAAGGATCAATCGGCTACCTTTGGATTACAGCTCTGATTCACTCCCTATTAAGCTAAGCTGATGGATTTAAACAACACTAAAAATATGAAAAAAAGGCTAATTTTGATGTCGAAATATGCAGGATATATTTTCCTTTCACTGATTTAAAAGTTCACATTAAATATTTTAGAAAAGTATTTCAAAAACAAATTAAAAGAAATAACAAAAAAGAATGAATGAAAAATTTGTTTATACTTTATTGTCGTAATAAAAGCAAAAAGAAACAATTTGTTTATGTCAAATGTGTAAAAAATAAGGATAATAACTCCTGACTCTTAAAGCAGAAGAGATTAAGCCCGTGTTAGTACATCATTTGTTATAGGAGATGTAGACGTTTAAAACAAACGTAAGAAAATACGTTGACATAAATGTCTTACGTAAATTTAAGGCTCTGGAAAATAATACCATTGTGTTTACCTGATATCGCATACAAAATCGAATAATATTTCTCTCTTAAAAACATAGAATATTTATTAATATTTCTAATTTCTCTCTTAAAAACACAATATTTATTGGTATTTCTAATTGTAAATAAATATTATCGTGGGTTTGTAATTTATAAGTTATTGTTCTTTTTTGAGTAGTTTACTATCTTTATATTATAACTTTCTACTTTTAACACACACAAAAAAAGAATTAAAAAAAGAAAAACGAAATAAAAACATCATCAACTGAACTTGCCAATGAGAAAAGAATCAAAACGCTCGTTGTTAATTGGTCATTCATTAAGATACTTCGAGTCGTGAATGGTATAGATTGATTGTACCGTTTGATGACATCATTACGATACGCGATAAGTATTGTCATTTTTTATTCTTTTTTTGTAGACATGACTTACATACTTATAAAGCTAATGAATACATTGGTCGTTTACAATTGCCGTAAATATTGCTCGTAAACTGCCCTGACTTGTGCTTGATGTGTCGTTGATTAGTCTAATTAATGAATATAACAAACAAGGATGGATTTTATACCTATGTATAAACTGATTTAATTAAGTTTAAGATTCAGAACTACGGTAGCTTATTAGCATAGAGTTCTGGTTGCTTGTTCTCAAGTATATTTTATTCATGAGTAGGTATTTCATAATCATATTTTTAAAAAAAAATGAAATTTGTTCAACCTGTCTTTTTACCTTTCATCAAAGGAGTGTTTCATTAGCATAAAATGCTAAAATATTGGATGATAAATAATTAATCTCTTATATTATATAGAACATAGAATCAATTTTTGCTTCAATGTTTGACAATATTTTCAAATTAAATAAATTTTAAATCAATTAAAACAGTCATTCAATTCTTGATCATGTAAAAATCATTTTAATGTATGATAATTTCTTGTTTCAATACAAAATGTATGGAAAGAAAACATGTGCTTTAAATATTGTTGATAGGTCAAAAGCTCATTGACCTAACTAATGGGAGAAAAAAAATTTGAGAGGGATTATTTTAACTTAAAAAGCTGCGTACACAATAATTGTTGAAAAATATGTTTAAAGGTTAATTTCTGAATAAAGTATTCATAGAAGAAAAGTGTATATAAATTCAGTATGTTCTAAATTTGAGTACATCATTGTCATGTGAAATAATTTTTAATCAGTTGCTAAACAAATAAACAACAAAATCACCTAAAACGATACAAGTTTCTATTTCAGACATAATAAACTCATTACGATTTCTTTTGTTAAACTCGTCAACGTTTCATCGCAAAAGGCGATTGTGAAATTTTCAACATTAAATTTTCATATTTACTATTAATATACGTTGTATATTATGACAACACCGGTATTCATTCAAAACTAGGTAAAAATCTTCGCTCTCTACTATCAGTTAGCTGTTCTTGATTCTGATTGGCTGTCGGCTTTCACAGTGAGGCTTTGTCAGCCTAGGTAGTATATACAGTAGCTAGTATTGGCAAATAATTCAGTACAAATTTTATACAGATAGCGAGAGTGTCAGTAGTGAAACTATTTAAGAAAATAACGCATGCTTGCTTTTGCAAAAGGAATTGAATAATTTGAACAAATTTTGAAGTTTTCAAATTGAAACAGTATTTAGAAACACTTGTTATTGCTCAAGAATACAGTGAAGAGGGACTTAGTGTGTTCATTAAAGTTACTGGATTGTATACATATACTTTGTGCAATTTGGAACTTAACAATTTTAACTTGTTCTCAGGTGACAATTTAGTGTGTTCATACTTTGTAAAAATAATATTTTAGAAGAATCAAACATCAAAGTGGACTTTGATACATGTAAAAGTACATTCAGTTATTGAAATGACAGTTATCATTATAAATTTGTGAACGGTGACACTTCTGTTAAGGGACTAAATTCAAGAAAGTGAAACTTTATTATGCCTGCATTTGCCATCGATACTATGGTACCAAGTCACGAGGACATTAACGCAAACACGATCATGGGTATCTATTCAACTCCCGATAACCGGAATATACTTGCTCCGATATACTTCAACTTCACTTGTAAGTATTCACAGATTTACAACACTGTTGTATGATGCTTTCTTACTTTTAACAGCTGTTAACAGCTGCCTGCTGCTGTTTTTGAGATCTTCCTCAAAATTTTTAACCTACATTTTTTACTTGTTATACAAAGATGTGCTAGTTTTATGTTCTGACTCTTTTCCTTTAGTGCACTTCTAAAGAGGAATATTTTTTAAGTAAAATATCTTGCACTAGAATTTACGTAATTGAAGAAAACGTCTGCCCCTGTCCAATACAAGACAATTTAAATCTAACTGTTTTGTTGTAGTTGGGAGATTTATTTTTTAAACAAGAAACTGTTGATTTTAGATCCTAATTGGCTCCATGTGGTGCACGCACGATTTTGTCTTTTTGTGATTTGCTCCGGATATTTCATGTAATGAATCACTATGGTATTAAGTACCCTGATGCTATGACCTTTAAAAAAAAATCCCCCAAGAGAGTCCAATGAACATTTTCTTTGCAATATATCTTTCCAGTAATCAAGATTTTATGACAATCCAGACAGTATGGCATTTATTATTCTTGCATCATGTGGATTATTGCTATTGTTCTGTGCTTCAGTGGGTCAGTGGTGATATTGATTACTGTCAAATCATTTCTCTATAAGAAGTCAGTCTGTGACCTACTGATGAGACGAAAAATTGGATGTTTTCCTCATCTTGTAATCAGAAAAAATAAATTGCATTCCAATAAGTCTTTTATTCTAAATGTTAATGTCAATAATCACTATCTTTCTTGGTTAAATGGTCTGTGAGAAGATCCAGTCCCATTGTTTGTAAGTAATTTCATTCTGTTCTATCATTCCACTTTGTGCTTTTATTGTTAACTAAGAAAGTTAAGTGTCTCTACCATATAAAAGTACAGCCAGTTGTCACTATATTTTAAACTTACCAAGATTTTTCTTGCCTATTTTCTAAGCTGCAGTTTTTTCTTCCATCAAAATCACCACGGACAACTGAATGTTACGTCTCTTCATTCTTTTTAACCTTATTCTTAGCGGTAAAGAGGAGGAGATGACAAACATACTGAACAATAGTTTTGAACTTTACAAAATAACAAACAATTACAGTCTTGCTTTCTGACAGCAGGTAGATTTATTTGAACACCTGAAGTGTAAAAGGTAACCACTTTAAACCATTGCGAAAAAAGTAAACTCAGTGGGGGCAATGTTTGAATGGCATTCTTAGGTGTTAAATAAAAAATACCTAGGTACTACAATTTGAAACTCGGCCCATCTCCTTGGTAGAGACATTATATAGTACAATGAAAGCGAAACCAGAGAAAATCTAAGGAGTGGTTTTAAAACAGAGGTGATTACTAATTGAGTTAAATGATTGCGGAAAATTGTGGGATGCAATATTATAAAGTCCTTTATTTGTTATTATAAGCAGTTTCCGGTATTTTGAATTGATATTTGCTGTAAATACAGGCAAACCACTTAATTATAAGATGAATGTATACTGTATGATAGTTGTAAATTTGCCAAAGAAACACATGATGACGTTCTAATATTGTACTTTCATATGTTTCTTACGTTCACTTTTGTTTAAAAGTACAAGGACACAAAGTTGAGAAACTTCAGTTACATCAGTATTTTACTCTGTGCATAAAAATATATGTAAATTATCAATCTATGAAATTTTTGGTTCAAAACATTCTTTTAAGGAAAAACTCTAGAGATTTTCTTCCATAATGCTGGAATCTTTATGTTGCCATAGGAAGCGATAAGTGGTTTGACGTCATTGTGGCGTTAAATATTTACACGGCCTGAAAATCGCATTAGTAACGAACTATTTTTTCTGGAATTACTGATTATTTTTCCTTTTCTGCCTCCGAATTGCTATACGAAGATTCATTCACAGAAATATGTTCTATTAAGGGGATTACATACACGGGAGAAGGTGTGATGCGAATTCCTTTTTACCGTTTTCTTAATTAGGACTTATATTCCATTTGATTTAATGTGATGACATTTGAAACGTTGCCAGAGAAATTTGCAGGAATCGTAGCTTTTGGATTTTTTTTTACAGGATTTACGACCTTTAAAAGGTTTCACAACAAGTAAATTATCTAGGGAATAATGCAAAAAAAACCATCTAGTTAGTGTTATTTATTTGAGGAAGAAAGGGTTTTTGACAAACCCTAAAGGAAAAGTTTGTTATGATATCAACTAATTAACATCAATTTGAAATGTGACAAAACTTTGAATTTTGTTTATTTTATCATCCAATTAGCATAGATTTCCAACTTTACTATATAATTAAACAAACAACATAACCTTTTAAAATAGTTGATTAAAAAATATATATTGCGAAGTTTAAAGTTTGTTTAAAATAAGAATTATTATAATGAGATTGAATTTAAAACTGAAATCGAGGAAATGGTCACTTGAACGCTACATGATATAGATTGAGATATTTCGGTCATATGTCAGACATTTTGACAAATTACTATCGTATATAATATTATCTCGATCATTAAGTATTAACCTTTTAACCTGGTTTCTCATCTCGTTACTAACATATATATACATCTTCAACTGCTCATTTACATTATAAATGTAATGAAATAAAAAGATACCAAAAAAGAATATATTAACTTGAGTCACTTGTGTAGTTTAAATCCTTCCCATACAAAACTATATGAAATAGACCTGTCTAACTTTTAATCTAGAAAAAAATTACTGACCGAATAGCAAAGAGGACACTGATCTTGGTTGGCTCTGGTCGCATATAAAAAATCTGTTGTGGCCAGTAGGGTGTATAATAAATAGTGGAGTAGAAACTTTTGTAAAAACTGTTTTTGTAGCACTTCATGGTGACTTTTTCACTTACATAATATCAATAAGTCATTGATGCAATATGTCTAAAATACAATGACTTGTTTGTAATAAAATATCACCAATAGTGGCAGGTTTATACATATAGTAGTTTATATAATCATTACCATTAATAACTAGGGCTCTTAACAATAGGTAAAGCTTTTTATCAGTTTATCATGACTTAAATGTGACGGTATTTATCGAGGCAGTTCAAACTAGATATAATTAGCGGTTACGACACATGGACATTATTTGTAAGGTTGTAAACATTAGGGAAATAGTCGCCAAAGGTGGAAGTTATTTTTTATTACCAGTGACTTATTTTGTTTAAACCATAATGGTACAGAGATGTGATTTTTTGGATAAAAACGGGAAAACAGGAAAAACTTGTGTTAAAAAAATGGGTCGACGATGGAGTTTATGTATTGACATGGTAGAAAAAAGAAGCAGTTTAAGAAGATGCAGCTTAAATAATGATGTTTTTAAATCTACAACACCAAGTTTAAATAGAGGTATAAAACTATAAAAAAAAATCATATTTAATTTATTATCTTAATTAATGGTAAACTATGGAAAGATTTAGAGCAAAAACGTGATATGACTGTAGATAAGGAAAGTAGATCAATTTCCTTGGTTTGTTACTAGAAAGTGAACTGAAAGGGATAGTTTAAGCCTTGTGAAGGGATAGTTTGCAATTAAATAGTTGAAAGTTATGCTGATATGACACAATCTTTTTTGATGACTTTAAAACTATGATAGCTAATGAGCATATTTAAATACCCCGAAGATATCTACAATATCGGTGAATAAACCACAGTAGTAACTTCTGGTCACAAGGTTAAATTGTAAACCAATATGTAATGTAATGATGTGATGTTACATACAAAATGATGTGATCTTCTGTAAATTATATCTCTTTAATATCCGTATTGACGTCACAGTCGAGGGGAAGTGTGATCGAATACTGATAGATATGTGAATCACAAGAGCTCGTTTTTTCTCTCAACTTTTCCCCCTATAATTTTCAGATAATTTGTTACCATGACAAGTTAAAATTGCTAGATAAAATAAGATGAACAACACTGGTTTATAGTGGAGGAAAAAATAAATAGGAAGAGAATAAAACGAAACTTTAAACAAGCCTTTATGCATGAAATTCATGGAAATCCGGTTTTATACACATTTATGATAATAAGTTAAGTGAAGATTGTATTCAGTGTAGCTTTGTTTTTTGATATTTTGACTATTCTGTCTGGCATGAGATCAAGAAAAGATAGAATTGACAGCTTGTTGCCTTTGTTTGTACCTGTTGTATCTATAGGTAAAATCACTAAGGTATGCCTAAACCATTTAACAGGCTCTTCTTATACTGATCCCATTCACAATCACTGATAATTTCCTGATAACTGACTTTTTCAGCTGATAACCAACTTTTTTTAAGGCGATCACTTACTTCTTTTCTTTTTTTTCGGCTCAAAATGTGGAAAGTTTGGAAATGGGGAAGGTCATATAAAAGGCTTATTGATTTTTTCCTTTTATTGTTTCATAACTTGGTTCTTTGGTGAAAAATAAAAATTATATAAGGAATGTTATGAAACAAAAAATGTGGGAATTAATCCATTCTTATTGATATGATAAAGATATTAAGCTTACTTTTCTATGTCAAGTCTGAATAAAGACATTTAATTGCCTATGTCTTTTATGTAATAACCTTGCTATAATTTTTATCAGACTTAATTCTGATGAAATGGAAAGCAAGTTTTTTTTTTACCCATGTTTAGTTAATTATTTCAGAAGTTATTTATGCCAAACAAATAATACTGTAGGAGAGAATGTGGTGTCTGGTAGAAAATTGCAAATTTTCATTTTAATTTTCCAGAGAAAATTACAAGTTTCAAGACAAACGGCCTGAGAAAATCTTACGATTTTTACTTTATTACATTATAAAAAGATGTTTGCATTGACGTCATAGCCAGGTTAAAAAGGCAGCTGCTGTTTCAGAATGTTTCAGTTTAAATAAATGTGGTGTAGTTTCAATTACATAAAGAAAATGGGGTTTAATCTGAGATCATCATGATGTTTTAAAATAGTAAGTACTGGGTACTTTAAGGTGAGAGAGCATATATTATATGGAGGTCTTTGTTCTCTGTATAGCCTGTACAACAACTGTTACACCTGGGCTCTTCATCTTGATAAACAACTGTTGAAACAATCAATGAAAAGAAAAAAATGATGTCTCAGATTTGGTGCATATTTTAAAAAATGAAAAGGTGAATAAAAGGTACTGAGAAGAGAGTTCAATAGAATTTGGAAAAAAAAACAAAAAAACATTAAAATGGATTTGAAAAGTATTTCGGTCAGTTGAGAGAAGAGGTCAAAATATAGTGCGACATAATTTTAAAAGATTTTATATTCAAAATCTGTTTTCTTTTCTACTTTCAGACAAACAACAAGAGCTTGATATTCCTTCATTTAAGATTGAAGAGAATGAAGGAAACCATAAAGAGAAGGAAAACCAGAAAGAGACTGGTAAACGACGCCCTATGACACAGATTACCGGTGTACGTAAACTGAAACATACCAACAGTTTCACCGGTCAGGTGCCAAAATATGGGGTAGAAACTCCACATAAAGAAGAATTAGGCAAGGTAATGATAGAGATGATATACTAATCTCCTTGTTCACTCAAAGTATTACATAACCATGGGATTTATTTTATTCAAATCCATAATCTTCTTTTAGAATAATCACATTACGTTTTGAAAAGTAATGTTGTTAAGATAGAAAAACTAAATCTGCATATAAATGGCCTTTTATACTTTTAATCGTCTTCCTAAAATTGGCAAGCAAAAAGCACTAAAATATTCATCTGCATTTTACTTAAGTAGGGCTAATGAATAATTAGGCGTCAATTTGGTTTATACAGTTACAGAAAGAATTTAATGATTCATTAGTAGAAGTGTTTTAGATGCATACAGTGCACATCCTGTGTTATATTTAAATCAGACTGTTAATATATGAAGCAGACGGGCAATTTTTGGCACTTCTTGCTTCATTTGAGTTGATGCTTCACAGACACCTTTTGTTTTGCCAGAATTATTTGTATTTACGCAAGTAGAGTACAAATGTCTGTTAAGGTCGTCAGAATTGCCAAGATTCTCGTGAGGATGCAATTAGGTTTGAAATAGTTCCGAACTGAAGTGCAATAAAGTTAACCTGTATCAAATTGCTTGTTTGGAAATAGATTTTAATGTTGTTTTGTTATATATTTTTCCATTTTATTTTTTAAAATATTGAATTTGTTGTTTCAGTTGCTGAATGATATTGATAGATGGGGCGTAGACATGTTCAAAATTGCAGAATACTCCAACAACCGACCTCTTACCTGTGTCACATACAAGATATTTCAGGTATATACCAGTTACCCCTCAAGTCATTGTTTTTCAACTTGTAACTCAAATAGTAACACTGACCTATTTACCGACATCTCATTCAGAATGAAATAAAATTTCAAATTTGATATCTAGTTATCACTTAAAAGATAATGATTTGAAATTCATTCAACATAAATACCTGGGATGAGATTTTTTTACGTAACAGTCTTGAAATGGCCGCGTGTAACAAAATTAACATTTTTATTACTTAATATTTGATATTTGTATTTATGTTTTGATCGCTTTCTTATTACAGGACAGAAACTTGTGTAATACCTTCAATATTCCCGCAACAACGTTAGTGACCTACTTAATGCATTTAGAAGATCACTATCATTCGGATGTACCGTACCACAATTGTATTCATGCAGCTGACGTCACGCAGTCAACGCATGTTCTTCTATCAGCACAAGCATTAGAGGTAAATATCTGTCATTTGAACGAAGAAAATAACGCGATACTCTAATTGTTGAGCTTGTTGACAACAAGTACAATCTTAAAGGATTCTTTTAGAACTAAACTTGTTTTAAAGTTCCATCTTTCGCACACTTTGAAGGAGGAAATTATCCTTGTTTTATCGACTACAGTACAGCTATTTCATTTCCTAGCATGCTGCAATCTCATGGATATATTTCTTGCTTGGTTTTACACATGGATGTAGGATTCAGAAGCTATTGACAATCTGTCTGCAGATATTAATGTGATTTTGTCACAATAAACATTTTGTTGCATTTCATGCAGACGTTCAATCAATACAAATCAGACGGTGTTAGATTCTTGCTGCAGCGGTTGTATTACCATACGCTGTACAATTTCTGCAGAGAATCTAGACCCAAGGTTGCAATTAATCCATATAATATCTGATGCATATCCTCCCATACACAGCACAATATTTTTTCCATCAGAACGGTTCCCACAGCCTTAATAAAGTTACAGGAACCAGCGTATGCATCATATAGTAGTATCTAATTAAGGAAAGAAAGCCCTCAAGAGTATTAAATAATTTGTATCTTCGTAAACCAGAACCTGAAAAACAATAATATAACCGCAAACTTGGCCATAAACATGCATAATGTTTGCTATATTTGGTTGTTTATTTACTACTTTTATTGTATTGTTGTTTAATATACTTGTTCTTGTGGTTTACAGAATGTGTTCACCGACTTAGAAATTCTCTCAGCCATATTTGCCAGTGCCATTCACGATGTAGACCATCCAGGCGTTACCAACCAGTTTCTTATAAATACAAGTAAGTTTAAATTACTACAAAACAAACTATACTTGATTCATGTTTTGTTAAAATTTTACAAGGGGGAAGACTTGTTTACTAGTCATAGGAATAATATTCTGTTTATCCAAATTTCAAACAAAAGAAGTTTGTCTGACCATATAGGTGAAAAGGCCATGGAGGGTAAAATTGTCGTGTTAAGTTTGAATAGGAGGATATAAATTGTTGTGACATGGATCTTGATAAATCTTATAACTGTTTGATATAAACATTGAAATCTGGGTAAATTTGACAGGATCTGAAACTATTGCCAAAATATTAACCCAACCAGTACATTCCCACACCAAACATTGGAATTCACCTTAAAATATTTAGTTTAATTATTTGTTAAATAAATTGGTCAACAACAAAAGATAGTACGTCAAAATATTAAATTCTTTTGTTCTTCTCTGTAAACTTGTTGAAATCTCGTAAATCTATTAAAAAAGAACCTTTGAGGCTCGACCGAAGCCGACAAAATACCTAATTGCCTGATACTGCTTTACCCTTGACATGTATGAATAAAAAACAAGAAATCTATCACGCTATGAATCTTTGTGAACCTACATAAAAAACCTATCAATAGAGCCATCTGTTGAACCAAACGCTTATCAGATTTACAGTCAGAAAACACGATTTATACTCGAAGCACGCATTATCTTAATCCATAATATTCTTTTATAATGAAGTAACGAGGCCAATTACTGTTTTGACTGTTTATGCGTAAAAGCACTCAGGTTTTTTTATTTGTCTTTGATGGTGATATTATTGACTAAAACTGTTTAGAAAATACGTTCAGGCTATGTTTTTTGTACAAGACAAATAAGAGATAAAAGTTTTATTCGGACATTGGTCTTGTTGATAAAAAACAAAACAGTAAACATGTGTACACGTAGTATTAATGAAAATGTGTCACTAAAGTAACGTTATGACAAAAACATTAAACAGATGGAAAAAGAAAACAACACGATTTAGAACGACTGTTGACGTCAGTGTTACATTATATAAAATGAAGTATAGTTGTAAACATACTGGTCTTGCAACAGTAATTGACATTTCAATTAACGCCTATCAAAGAACATATGTAATTGGCATTAAGACCACTCCAGAATATTGCTAGTAATTTGTACTGATTCTTTCTTTATAGGACTTAACTGTTCTATGGCTTTTGGCTGTCTCCTAATAATTCTCCATTTATTGATTATATATTACTATGGTAGGTCATGTTATATAAAATAGTTTATGAGTAATATGCTGTGGTTTTTTTGAAGGTATATGAAAGTTTTTAATGTTTTATTTACTTTTCTATCTTTAGGTTCAGAACTTGCATTGATGTACAATGACGAGTCTGTGTTAGAGAATCATCATTTGGCCGTTGCTTTCAAACTGCTTCAAGAAGAAAACTGTGACATTTTTGTCAACCTTTCCAAGAAACAACGACAGACCTTGCGAAAAATGTGCATCGATATGGTCCTAGCTACAGACATGTCAAAACATATGAGTCTTCTGGCTGATTTGAAGACGATGGTTGAAACGAAGAAAGTGGCAGGTTCAGGCGTCCTTTTACTGGACAATTACCAAGATAGAATACAGGTAATTATTGCAAAGTAGAAAAGAAAGTGCTGATCACAAAACATACTTAAATATCTGTAAAGTAAGAAAACAAAATCCACAGAAAGTACATGTTCAGTTCAAGGCTAAATTATCTAGTATATAGAGCATAATAAAGAGTGATTAGTAAACATTTAAGTTCCATGAACAAAGAGGAAAATGGTGTGAAGACAAATTGCGAGGGTGATTAACTGTTGCGTGTTTTACAAATGATTCGGTCAGAAACATGGAAGTAGTATAATACCTGGCAATAAACATAATTGAAAGGGGGGGGGGGGGGAACACATGTTATACAATGTGATATCTTTTTATCATTTTCTTCTGAGAAATACCATGTTTCATAGAGTTTTACTTATGTTTCTTTCAGGTATTACAAAATATGGTGCACTGTGCCGACTTGAGCAATCCAACCAAGCCTCTTGAACTGTATAAGACATGGCTTGATAGATTGATGACGGAGTTCTTCCGCCAGGGAGATATGGAAAGGGCAAAGGGACTTGACCTCAGTCCAATGTGTGACAAACTTACTGCTACTGTTGAAAAATCACAGGTATGTATTTTTTTCTGTTAAGTAAAAAATAAAATACCTATATTTAAGTATTAAAAGAATATGATAATAATCATTAGAAGATTTATTTTTTTATTTTTTTTTTCAAATATTATTTTATGATTATTGTTTTATTGTATACTTGAATCTAATTAAATTAAATGTTTAATTTCATGCTTGTTTTGTTCTTCCAGGTTGGATTCATTGACTACATCTTACACCCAATGTGGGAGACCTGGGCAGATTTAGTTTACCCAGACGCACAGGAAATACTTGATCAAGTGGAGGAAAATAGAGACTGGTTTCAAAGTATGATCCCCATCAGCCCATCCTCTAGTTTCTGTTCTAGTGCTAAATCTGAGGAGAAATCAGCAGACAGTAAATTTCAGTTTGACATTGAAGAAGAAAAAGACAGTGAAAATGATACTGAACATCGTGGAAGTGATGTTGTTATTAAATTGACTGATAGTGGTAACGGGTCATCGAAACAGCAAAATAAAAAAGGACAGTAGCTTGCTGTAGAATAAAATATTGCATAATTGTGATAAAGTTTACTCATTAAAGTATTCCATGGCCTAACAGGCCCCTCCAATGACATTAGCGCTTAGAATTTGATGAATCGTGTCATTAGGGCCGTGTAAGCTGTCTCCCAGGATTCCATAGCGGGGACGTGTCATGTCTTTGTTGTCATGACAACCGATGATGTAGAATGGAAGATGACATCATTTCTCAGGGAGAACTTCCAGGGTTTGTACGGTTGACTATCCAGTTACCGTAGTAGTAGATGTAGCAGGAAAAGTACGGTTAACAATTCGATACCTTAGACAGGGAGGCATAAGAGAAAACAGAACAGTTTGACTTTGTCTGTCTCTTTAAGTTATGAACTTGTGAAATTAGGGAAGATATTGAGTATTACAGATTTTCGAAATGGCGGGTATTTTTGCTTTAAGGAAAATCAGCTCCGCATTATGATATATGTTTGTACAGTAGCCATGTTTCAATGCGTGTGCGTTTGTTCTGAAGAAGTAAAAAATCGGACAAAAACTCTGACATTAACAGACATTAAGCAAGTTAAAATCTTTGTTATTATTGACTTGTGGTTCTGTTTTGAGAAACAGGAAGTTGTGTGCTAAAACTGTTATAGTACAATTGTAATACTTTTGTGCTTCCTGTTCAGGAGAGTTACAAAGGGAGATTACTCTTATTTACATTATGTTAGTGATGCTTTAGTGGTGTTGCTGTTGATACGTAACAGTACCAGCCAATTTTATACATTTTATCATATCATTAATTTTATCATATGATCATGAATTGTTTTTTTAAATTGTTTCTGTATATGATTGCTGCGTTTATTTATTAAAACTGTTTTTTTAAGGCTATTTAAGAATAAGGTTTGTTTGGGCTGTATTATAGGTTTAACAATTGTTTAAGCTTGTGCTAACAGTTTGATTAGCTTTATTGTTATGAAAAAAAATGCTGGTTGAATTTTGTAATGTGAACAGAGTTAAAGCCCTTGCAAATCTGCGGACAAAAGGCTGATGAAAATTTGGACGGAAATGACATGCACAACTGATTTCCCGAAACCGTTCTTGAGGCAAATTTCTGAATAATCTGAACAAAAATAGGTTATGTTATGAGCAGTACCATTATCAATGCTGTTGCCAGATTATCCATTGGCAATGTTTAAATATGTCTTTAGATAAAGATTTAACAATTCTTTGTAAATTAATGACCATTATTATTACTGGCGTTAAATGTCAAGTTTTATTGTAGATTGACCTAGTTAGAGATGATAGAAACAGTCATCTTAGTAAAAATTAATATCATCATTAAAATCGGTTTTTACCCCTTTTTTAACAATCATACATAATATTATTTTTTAAAAAAACATATGTTTTAAATTGAAAAAGCATATGCTTTTACTTTATATTGTAAGTTTATTTTTCTTACATAGGGTAGCATGAAAAAAAAATGTTTTATTCTCCTCATTAATTGTGTAATATCAGATACTGTGTAGGTATTTTCATACTTCATCATTTTATTAATGTATGTTAAAAAAAAAGTTACACCTTCGGAAAGTTTACGCAAAATATAGTGTAAGTTTTTCTTTTCTTAAAAAATCAGTTGTAGTGTATTTGTTATACTTATGCCAGCTAGTTACACGAAAACAAAATGGCATGTGTGACCATTTCTTGTCACTGGAAATCCATCAGCTAATCACACTGTGATATTGCTAGGGATCATGGGTAATTGGAAGAATTTGAAAAATCTTCCAGTGAATGCGTTATTTTTTTTCTTTTTCGTAGAAATAAGATGTGAATTATTATGGTTGTTTTCTGGTCAATTATACTAACAGACCAGTATATTTTTATTTATTTTTTCAATATTTTTTTGTAAATTGAAAACCGAAAAGAAGAAAAAAAAATCAGAAAATATAGGGATAAAAAAAGTAAATTAATTTATTTATTTTATAAAACTTCCAAGTGACGAGTAACTAGCTTGTAGAAGATTTATTAATTTCATTGAATCATTTTATTTAAAATTTCAATCTTGCATTTCTAGAGGACTTATTTATTTTAAACATTATGATATCATAACTATGTTACTATAAATAGATTGCAAATCACGGTTTCTTCCATGACAGTTTGTTTCCCATGATTTCTAGCAGCCCAGCCTAGTTAAAAATAAAATTTGGAAAACTGAAATATATTTTGTTGTCATTTTTATAAAATGGAAAGGCCAAATGTGCTTTTCTGATGCTCAACATTAGTAGTATAAATTGTGATAAATGCATTAGATCCAAAGATGGTAGACAATTTATATCCCTAGAGGAGGAAATTGTACATGTAAAACAGTGCAACTTGCTCTTGGAGTCTTGTGAGTTGGCTTGCTTCCACTAGATATCACATGTCCAAGTATAGACAACATACTGAACTATGTCTACAGAGTGATTCAAATAGCAGTGCTGTATTTACTACCAACAGGAAACACAGAAGCAAACAGCTTTGTCCATTATGCATTCAAAACTTTCTAGTGAGTTATGCCATGTACATTTTAGTATGAGTACAATAGCATAGTCCTATAGCCATTACAGCTTCAACAGAAATACGATAACATCCATTATTACTTAGCATAGTTCTTGAGCCATTATTTCTTCAATAGAAATACAATGGCATAGTTTTTGAGCCATTATTTCTTCAATTGAAATACAATAGCATAGTTCTTGAGCCATTATTTCTTCAATAGAAATACAATGGCATAGTTCTTGAGCCATTATTTATCCAATATAACTACAATAGCATAGTTCTTGAGCCATTAATTCTTCCATAGAAATACAATAGCATAGTCCTTCAGCCATTATTGCTTCAGTAAAAATATAGCATTGTCCTCTGCAAAAAATACAGTGGCTACAGAGTCTACCCATTATTGCTTCAATAGAAATACAATAGCATAGTCCTCTTGCCACTATTTCTTCAATGGATATGCAGAGCATTTAGTCGATTGTAAAAATTGCATCTTTGTCCCAATCTCATTAAAATCAGATCATCGTTTTCATTCCGTTACTCTTCGAGCGTTGGGTAGTGGAGCGGCAGTTACGATATGATTTTAATGAGATTGAGCTTTGTCCATATTCAATAGAAATACAGGATATGACGCTGGACTTGTGCTTGAGTCTGGATAATGTTGGCACTAGCAAAAAGGAAGGGTTTTGAATATTAAACAAAGATTCACAGACGGCCATATTTCATTCAAAATCCTACCAGAGAGCTCTTTGAAATTTACTCTAAGAACACGAGATAAGTTTCAAGTAAATACCAACAGTAGTTTAAAAGATTTATTAATACTGCTGCACCAACGCTGATGGCGATGCCGGAGGAAGTCGTGGTAAAAATGGTCATCGTCACTGAATCAGTAACTCAGAACTTGTCCATTGGACACATACAGTTGAGTTCACACTAAAGGTTACACAAAGTGCACTAGGAGTGCACTAGATGTGCACTACTAGTGCACTACAAAGTGCACTAGTAGTGCACTACTGGTGCACTTCATAAGTGCACTTTGTAGTGCACCAGACCTATTATATGTATTAAGCAGTTACCTTTTATTTCACTGAATAGCACTTTGACTTTTACAAAAAGATAGAAAATATAGATATCTGTTTAATAGTTTTTCAATAAAAATTTGAAATTGTGATAATTGGATTTTGTAAAATATGGCATAAAATATTAGAACAATAAATTTCAAAGTCATTAATTTTAATGATTTTGTACTTTAAAATTTAATTGTTGTAATAAGTAATTTAAATATAAAAAATTATAACTTTAATGTTGATAAGTGCATAAATAAACAAACTTAATTGATATTTAATATGATTCTATTTTATTATAATATGTTAATGAAATATGAAACATTGAAATGCTAATCAAACAAAATTAAGTCAGTTCTTTTTTGCCGGGGGAGGGGGAATTATACCATAGTATTAGTTATTTTTGATCTTAACTTATGGTTGTTTTAGTTAAAGGAAAATGATTTTAAGCATTAATAGCCTTTAATACATTAAAGAATTAATATGTTTATAATTGGCCTAAATTTTGTCAATTTTATTTCATTTATGATCTCTCTTACCTTCTCAAACTGAGATTTACCTAAGATTAATATAAATGATATATATTATTCTGAAAATAAATATTTATATATAATGGTGGTATGTATTGATATGTGTGGATTAAGTATTGATATGTACCTGTGGGATACTTGTATACTTAAACTGACATGGATATTAACAAGATTAGAAAATCTGTCAATTCCATTTTTTGAGACGACACCAATCTTTTTTCCTTTTTTTTCATGCATTGTAACATTATTATGCAATATGATTAATTTTATGAGTTTATTATAAATTGCAAAAATATTCATTTTTCTTTTTGTACTATATTTGTAATGAAATTTATTTGCACCAACATCCAGAGAATACAGAATTTACATCGCCTAATCTGTCTTATGTTATTTACCCTGCTCTATTATCAGCAGGGTACTATATCAAAACACCTATACACAGCATGACTTTTGACACTTTAATCTCCTGTAACTGTTTTCTGCTCATGTATGATATCAAATTTAAAAAAAAAAACAGGGAAAAAAAAAAAAAAAAAAAAAAACAGATCTGCGTTAAAGTGAAAAGGAAGTTGCAAAAGATTTATAATCATGTATTTAAATAATATTTTCTTTAAAATATATTATCTTCTAAATGCGTAAAAACTGACAAGGCAAATTTGTCAAATCTATAATAGAAAAAAGTAACATTTCCCAGTTCAAAAACTAAAATATGCTGCAAATTTTAATGCAGAATTGCAAGAAATGTGAAAAAATATTGATGCAAAGTCTTTGTAGAATGTAGAATAGTTAACACTGATATTGGTTTTAAACCAGTTTTTTATAATAAGATTAGAAAATTCCACTTCAAAGGCAATAAATGACAATTATATCTAACGTGCGTTATGACATTAAGATTATTTTTTACATTTGATTATACAAAAAGTATAGTCATTTATTGATGACTTACATGTATTTTGGGGGGAAAAAGGAAATTTTCAATTAATATTGCATACATTTACATTTTTGTTATTTACCCTGAGGCCCTCTTATCAGCAGGAGACCAGTGTAATGAAAACAGTCGCTCTCAAAAAAATACCAATACACAGCATGACTCGTGACTTTCCTCTTGTATAAAAACATTCCCTTTATACATTACATTTTTAATGTAGAAATCTTGAATAAAGTTATCAATTTTATTTATTTTATGGAAAAATTTTAATTATGTATATCTTTAAAAAGTATGCAAACATTTTATGGTTGAAAAACATAATATTACAGTCTATAAAATGTTTTAAAATCAATGAATTAATATTCTCTTTCAATCTTGAACATGAGGAATTGCCTCTTAAGTTATATATTATCACGGATTTATATTAATAGTATATATAGTAATATAAATCCGTGATATTATTATGCAGAATGGCAAGAAATGTGGATAAATGGATACATATAGAAAATTCCGCTTTAGAGACAATAATATCAGAGACATAGATAACATCTATCTTTGTCTCTGATAATATCTATTATGCATTTATGCCTTTATGTTTTTTTTTTTGTATATTTGATTATACAAAAATTATGGCCATTTACTGAGTGCCAACGCCTGATGAATCCCAGGCTTATGTCTAACGTGCATTTTGAGAAAACCAGGGAATTTCAATGCATTCTTATAAATCTGCTAAATTGACTGTTCTTTGTTATTTACCCTGAGGCCCTCTTATCAGCAGGAGAGTTGTATATTGAAAACAGTCCCTCTCAGAAAATACCAATATACACAGCATGACTTGAGATTTTCCTCTTCAATAAAAGTATTCCCTTTATACATTAAATTTTTAATATTGAAATAATGAATAAAGATATCAAATTTATTTATTTTATGGATAATATTTAAATTATTTGCATAAACATATGCAAGCATTACACAGTTGAATACTAAATTATCACAGTATATTGATTGTTTTAAAATCAATGTATTAATATTCTCTTTTAATATTGAACATGATGAATTGTCTCTAAGTTATATATTATAGAAATGATATTTTAGCTTAAATATAACCTTTCCTTGATTTTTTTGAGCTTATGAAAACAAGTTTATGATGTAACAAACTAAATTAATTGGGCCAGAATTATCACATTGATTTATACCATTTGTTCACTAGAAAAATTGAAATATATGGCCATTTAAAAAAGCTTAAAAAACACTTATTTAATTATCTATTACGGAGCATATTTAAATTTAACCTTATTAATTCTATAAATTTGATGTTAAGGTTTTATTATTTTTCACTTACAGTTAAATACTGGTTAATAAAAATATGATTACAATAAATGAAAAAAACATTTTAATTTTAAGCTTCAACATGATAATCACCTAAAATGTTAAAACTGCTGATTTTAAAATTTACTTATTTATATTCATGAATAGGCTATATATATATTTTCCCATTTTTTTTTTCGTACAGCAGCGTAACAATGGATGCCCCCCCATTGATATACAATTATCCAATAAACCATTTAGGTGTCACCTTCCCTGGCCAGCCTGGTCATATGGTCTAGTGCACTAGAAGTGCACTTCTAGTGCACTTCTAGTTCAGCTCTAGTGCACTAGAAGTGCACAAGGGTGGGAAGTTTAGTGTGAACTCAACTGTATGCCCCACTTCGTTTGCCCTCCACAGTGGCGTATTTACATATAAGCATATTCATTAAGATCAATAAACTCGTAAACATGTATGAAAGAATAGTATTAAAACTAATAGATAAACAAACCCATGACACTGCCGAAACTCTTATTATTTGATTAGACAAGAAATTTACATCAAATATCACTGTGACCTTCACCTTACGACTTCAATATGAATAGGGATCATTTTACTTTCTTTATCCACAAACTCAGGCTTATTCCTTCTCAAGTCATTGATCACAGACCTCGTTACAGAAGTATAATTTTGATCTCATGACCTCAAAACCAATATAGGGGCCATCCACTTTCAAAGTTACATCAACCACGGCGTATTTCTTCTCAAGTCATTGGTTACAGAAGTATAATTTTGATCTCATGACCTCAAAACCAATATAGGGGCCATCCACCTTCAAAGTTATATTAACCACG